CCCCCTGAAGGAGGAGGCTTCCAGGACGGCTTTCGGGTTTCTGACTGGATCCCGGGTGCGTAGTGGTGCCCTTCCTGGGAGAGAAAAGTCTCGTGGAGATTGAGGACCGGGCCCCGGGGTATCCAGGCCAGCATTTCTTCTAGAGCAGCGGAAACTCCTCGGCGTGAGTGGAAAGGGCCAGTGAACTGCGTCTGGGGAGGGCTAAGAGCTGATGTACCAGAATGTCCGAGGATGGAGACATGGAGGAAGGTCACTGAGATGCTGCAGTGGCTGTGTCCCCATCACGGTCGGGCCTTCGCGTGTGACGCTCACCAGGGCCCCCAGAATGCAGCATAAATTCTGTCTTTACGGATGACGCCGCTGATGTGCAGAGAGGAAGGCCACTCGGCTTGTCCAAGTTCACCTAAATGCCTCCACAGCCGGGTTGGGGGTGTGTCCACACTGGTCCCACAGGGCCGAGGAACGGGGCAGGAGACAGTGTGTGGGGACGTGGCGTGTGGTCTGGGGAGGATGTCCCTCAGGGCCGGGACTTGCCTGGAGAACCGGACCAACCTTGCAGGCCGAGGGATGCCAGGACTCGGCTTTCACACACCCAGTGTGCTCTGGGTGCCCCCATCTACCGCAGAGACAGGCGAGCTGAGACCCTCCTCCCCTCACAGTAGATGTACCGAGGCCACTCTCTCCTGCGTTTCCCAAGTGGGCCACTGTGGAGGCCACGATTACAGACAGACTCACGGGGACCCGGCTGCACCTGGGAGGGACAATCTCTGTCTTCAGGATGCGCAGGAGAAAAAGGCTGTATGTGTCTGAGGTTGTCCTTGTTTATTTTCTCTGTTATCATCCCACGTAGCTCGTGAAGGGAGAGGAGGTGGGCCACCGAGGAAATGAGCTAACGAAAGGAGGGGTTTGCGGACTTCCGTGACATCTGTCTGCCACCCAGTTGCATCCTGCTGGGCTGGCCAGAGCTGGGAGGGGGCTGCGTGGTGGTCCTGGTGGGCCGCCAATCTCCAGTGCTTCCTGGAAAAGTTGTCCTGGTGCCGGAAATGAAGATGAAGTTGCCATGAAACTTGGCAGCGTGCTGAATGTGTTTGTCCAGAAGACACTTAGTAATTAAAAAAGAAAAACAGTGTGTGCTCATTAGGAAATACAGAAAAGCAGGAAGAAGGAGGGTAGCCATGGCAACCGCATGCAGACAGCCCCTGGCGGGTTATCTTTGGTAAATTTCCTTCCAGTCTTTCTTCCTTGCAGGAGTCTGGGGGTTGAGACTTTCCTGACCGCAGGCATTTGTGTGCTGACTTATTTTGCACTTCGCTTTGTATCACATACATTCCCCACGCCCCTCCAAGGTCCTTGCAGGTACTGTTTATGACAGCGGCCTAAATGTCCATCGAGTGGATATTCCCCAATTTTTTCCACTGTTCCTTCGCTGTTGCTTATTTTTAGCTCTCCACGAGTATGGATATACCACTTTTGGAGTTTAAGACTCATTCCTTAGGAGAGATTCCTAGAAGTGGAGCCACCCGTCACAGGTGTGACCATCTGGGGGATGTGTGTAAAGCCCACCTCCCCGGAGGGCTCTGTCTCACCCGGGCTGCCGGACATGGGCCGGTGTTTCTGATGCTGGCGCAGGCACCCTCCTTCCAGGAGCTGCTCCCTGGATGGCCCCCGAGGTCGAGATGCGATACTTTCTTTGGCCGAGAAGGACAACAGGGCTCATTTCCCACGAGCGGCTCTCCTTAGCACTGCTGGTGTAAATTCTTAGGTCTTAACCACGCCGAGGCCTCCTTCTGCAGGTCGCGTTGTACGGCCTGGCCTGCTGGGATCTTTCCTTCCTTCCAAAGGCACTCAGCATATCCTCATTACTGCTGCCGGGCGTCCACTTTGCTTTTGTTCATTGTTTCACGTGCTCCGAGGCTGCAGTGCTGCCTTCCCACCAGGCCCGGCTGTCGCCTTCAGATCCACGCAGCGGGCGAGGAAGGCTGGCTGCGGTTCATTTGCATCCTCATTAACCGAGAGGTTCTGAGCATCACATACATGCACACACGGCTCACTCATCGATCCAAGAAGTGCTGCTGGGGAAGTGGAGAAGGGGTGATCTGGGGGGACTTCTTGGAAGCGGTGTGAATGGACAGATATGGGGTGGGTTTCTTTCTTTTTTTTTTTTTTTTTGTGGTATGCGGGCCTCTCACTGTTGTGGCCTCTCCGGTTGCAGAGCACAGGCTCCGGACGCTCAGGCCCAGCGGCCATGGCTCACGGGCCCAGCCTACCCGTGGCACGCGGGATCCTCCCGGTCCGGGGCATGAACCCACATCCCCTGCATCGGCAGGCGGACTCTCAACCACTGCGCCACCAGGGAAGCCCCGAGTGGTGGGTTTCTTATAGAGAGAAAATCTGAAGCAAAGGGTTTGGATTTTATCCTGTAGGTCATGCAGAGCTGTTGACGGTTTCTGGATGGAGATGTCTCTGAATTTGACTGCAGATGTCAAACATGCTATCAGTGTGCTCTCTGGCCTGATTTGACTTCATTTCCCAGAAGTTCATTTGAAAAACAAATAAACCCCTACCCCGTTTCTTTGTTATTTATCCTCTAAAACCACTGTGGTTCCTTGGGCTTCCTGGCCCTCCGGATTCTGGATGAATGGGAGTTGTTCTGGTCTTTAACCGTCGAGCCGTCCTGGACCACGTTGCTTGCACATAAAGCCCGCCAGGGCCAGAACCAGGTCTCCCACGGCCGTTGTCCCCCCAGAATGGAGACCCTGGGAGGTACGTCTGAGGCCTTCTGGGAGGGGGCACGGAGACTTTCAGATCACCAGCGTGGCTTCTGACAGCGTCCAGGGAGCACCTTTGTCAGGGAGCATTGTCACCCCAGCCTTGTTGGTGGTGTGGGTGCAGGGCTCTGGAACTGTGGAGGGGAGAGTCTGCTCTGCCCTCTGGCCCAGCCAATATCTAAATGCCATGGGAAAGGGGAATGCCCTCACCAGCTGCTGGCTCTCCCTCCCCCTCCTCCATCTTCCTTCTCTTCCTCCTTCCCCTCCCCTCCCTCCCCTCCCCTCCCTCCCCTCCCCTCCCT